GATTATGTATAAATTAGCCTGGAGTATTAGCTCGGCGCCAAGCTGATAATGGGTATCTCGGTTGGACGAGCAAGGGAGTGCCTGGCCAACCGAATCAGAGTCTGCAAAAGTGAAAAAGAAAGGTGTTAAGCATAGATTGTTGGACCGTGCTAAAAGAAACAAAGGCAAAATAAATGAAGTCCTAGCCCGACTTCGTGGGTTACTATTTATTCTTAGCTCGGTTTAAACGAAGAGCTCTAGTCCGGTTAAGTAAATGTGAACTTCATAGGCGGTTGGAGCTTTTGGGGCAGCATTCTAGTCCGATTTTTAATAAGGAAGCTGGTTTAGCCTCAAGTTTTAGCTCAGTCGGTGATTGTGGCTTTCTAGTGCGGCATTGTGCAAACCTAATCTATTTCACTAGCTCGGCTAATTAAACCAAAAGGTTCTTAGACCTACTTGAAACAGCAAGTGTTCATAAAGTCCTAGCTTGGTTGTTCAGTTTTGCTAAGGCTCGTACCTAATACAAACAATATCCTAGTTCGGTTGGAGTGTGATTTTGGATCAAAACTACTATTTCCCAGGTTATTCATATAGACAATGGTTATGTTACATGGTTCTTCACAGAAACATGGAAGCAAACATGGCATATGTTTTGAAAAAACATACAACTAAGCATGCTATATGAACAAGAACGAAATCAACGGAAAGGAAACAGATTTGAGTTACATACCAGTTCGATGTGAAGGGATTGAGGATGAAAGCAATCTCAGCAAGAACATGAGTTTTTTCAGGCACAATATTTTGGAGAAATGAAGATTCAAGCAAGAGAGAGGGAAGATGAACAAGGGTATTGCGATCTGAAGAAATGGGGCTTTTCGTACAAACCTTGGTTTTTGGCGAGACTATTCAAAAGTCGCGAGGTACGAAGGCGGTGTGACAGATGCATTGGGTCAATAAGGGTCTGCCACGTGTGTAAGGAATGGAAATCGATTCAGCTATAGAGACTGAAGAGACGTTTTGACCGGATAGATTGGTAGCACGATGTGAATTTAGTTCGGTTGGAAGGCTAAAGTTTTTTAGCTCGGTCGAAAAACTAAAGTTGTTAGCTCGGTTGGAAACGGGTAATCCTGATCATGCTACGCAGACGGAATTAAGGGACAATTGAGAGGGTAATTTATATGTAAATAAGGCCGAGCTGGATAACAGGCTATTCTGAGGGCCACAGTAAGAAGGGCTGAGTAAAAGGGCCTAGAAGTTAGCCCGGTCCAAAAGAGCGGTAACAGTTAGCCCGGTCATACCATATTGAGCTGAAGTATGTTGAGCTTTCCTCAGTACCTTGCTATTGGTTAGCTCGGTCCAAGCTCATTGTGGTTAATGCGGTCTCAGACAACCCAGTTAGAATATGTCAAACCGAGGTACACTCAGTGAAAGGAAGAACCGAGCTAGTGGGAGCTCGGTCTAGTCTGCGGCTTTAAGCATGGCCATGTTATCTCGGTCGTATTGACATCCAACCGTGGTAGAACCATCTCACTTGGTTTAAGCAGTGAGGGAGTTGTTGAAGGATAAATATTATCTTTCAGGAATGTGATTCCTATGAGGACTCTACATGGAGGAGTAAGAGTCCTACTTGAATTGTGCCACACGGAACCTATAAAAGCTCATAACATCACCTATGGAGAGGTAGCACAACTTTAATTCTCGAATACTCATAGCTTTTGTCCATTTGTCTGTTTTGCTGACTTAGGCATCGGAGAAGTATCTGGCACACACCCGCCGGCTAGCTCACGTTTGTGTTTTCAGGGAGTAAAGCAATGACATTTGGAGGAACGCGGACTTGATCAACAGGATTATACGAGAAGATTATTTCTTGCTCGTACGTCACCAGTATACCGGCGAGAATGAATTTCACGTCTGTAGCGGCCGATTCCTGATACGTATCGGCCTGAATCCGATACGTAAGCGATTTGTTTCCGATACAGTCCGATACGGCTAAAAACGAGCAAAGCACCTGCAAAAATAATTGAGAAAATGAAAGGAAAGCACCTGGAAAAGCAAAAAATAATGAGCAAAGCACCTGCAAAAGTGATGCTCTGTTTGTAATACAAGCTGCAAACTTTGTAGACTTTACAGCTTGAATACTCAGTTTACAAAGTTGCAAACTGTGGATATGTGATGCGCAACCTACAAAGTTGCAAACTGTAAATTTTGTAATACAGTCTGATCCTTAAGGAAGCTGCAAACTTGGTATATGTGATGCCCTGTTTTTTTCTTTTGGCTGAAGAAGTTTGTATATGTGATGCTCTGTTTTTTTCTTTTGGCTGAAGAAGTCATGGTTTTGCTTTTTAAGTTGTGTTCCGTTTGTTTATAATTTGTTTTTGTTTTGTTTTGTTTTTTTTTTTTCTGTTGATTATTTTTTTAAATGACATATATATATATATATATTATCAGCATAGAATATAATTTTTTATATATAAAAATATTTTTTATATATATTTTAAATGCACATATGCTCAATATATATATTTTTTATATATATTATTTAAAGAGATTTAATCTGTCAGATTTTTTATTTCAGAATTTTTTTTATTATTTTAGATTTTTTAATCTGTCAAATCTTTTTATTTCATATTATTTTTATATCAGATTTTTTTTATAAAGGTTTAATCTGTCAGATTTTTTTAAAGAGGTTTAATTGTTAAGTAAAGATGTTTAATATTTCAGATTTTTATTTTTATTTTAAATGCATTATTTTTAATATTTTAGATGTTTATTTTAACATATATGCCAAATAAAAGGTTGAGACTAAAATAAATACATATCATTTAGTTGAAAATGAGTCAAAAAAGTGTCTCCACATATCAAAATTTTGATTAAAATGTGATAAATTAAGGCTAAAAGAGTCCAAAAATGCATAAAATTGAGTTTTTGATGGATTGCTAATGATTTTTGAAATTTCACAGCCGCGACGCCCGATACTCGATACGTATCGGTTGATACTACCGATACCGATACTCCGCAATCGATACCGTTACGTTACCCAATACCGCAATTTAAAACTATAGTGTTTGGGATGATAAGAATGTTTGCATGCAAAATGGGAATTTATATATAGCCATAGAAGAAACAAACAAAAGGGAGTTTTCGTTACATTTCCTCACCAAAGCAAAAACTTGAGTGAAATATAGGGGTTGGTTTGGTTTTCAAAAAGAGTTTGTTTTCATTTTTTTTTAAATAAGATTTTAAAATTAGTCTCGTGATTTTTTTTTAATTAAAAGTATTTATCATTTTTATATAGTTTCATCTTTTTGCATAGTAAAACTCATTTTTTTTGTCAATTTTTTTTTATTTTTTTTAAAAAAAATTCAAAAAATATTATTTTTATAAAAATTCATACAAAATCTCAGATTTATATGACACTAACATTTTTGTAATTAATAATTTACCTATTGAGTTATTTGGTTAGAAAATATTTGAATAAAAATACATAATTTAATTTCTAAATCACAAATTACCATAACTATACTAATAAATATATATAATATTTACCGCAAGAATACATAATATAAATGTACATCAAAGATTAAAATGACAAAAAAAATCACATATTTTAGGTATTACAAGTGTAAAATTTTGACTAAGTTTTTACATTAATAACACAGAGCATATATTTTAGAGATTAAAAATGTAATTTTATAAATGAGTTTTCACATTTATCTTTAATTTTAATAGTGTTTAGGTTACGAGACCAAATTGAAATATTGTTTTTATGTATTAAGGACTAAATTAATAAAGTAAAAATAGTAAGAATCAAAAGGAAAAATATTTAAGGGCTAATTACACTAACGGTCTATATAATTTGGACCTGTTGCCACTTTGGTTCTTGACTTTTCGATTATAACACATTTGACTCTGAATTTTAAATATTGTTCTAAATAAGAATAATTGAAAATACTATTACTCAATTTCAATGACAAAGTCGTTAGTTTGATAAAATATAAACTAATTTAACAAAAATAAATGTCAAAAAAATATTTCTTAAAAAATTATTTCTACCCACTAAAGATAAAAATATGTAAAATTGATAAATTTTTTAAACATTTATTTATTTATTTTTTTACCAAATTAATTTTTATTATGTGTTTGGATGATGGTCATGTAATAGGTGGTTGTTTTTATTTTCATTAAATTAGTTTCTATTTTCTCAAAAGTTAATTATGGCGACAATTTTGATATCATTATTAAACCAATCCATTAAATCAAAAAATCCAAAGCTAAAAATATTTCATACATTAAATATATTGATTATATATTAAAAGCCTAACAATCAACATTACATGATCATCATCCAAACACATAATAAAAATTAATTTGATAAAATAAATAAATAAATAAATAAATATCTAAGAAATTTATTAATTTTACACAATTTTATCTTTGGTGGGTAAAAATTATTTTTAAAATTCAAAAATATTTTTTGACATTTATTTTTGTCAAATTAATTTATATTTTATCAAATTGTTGACTTTGCCCTTGAAATTGATCAATGGTATCTTCAATTGTTCTTATTTAAAACAAGATTTAAAATTCATAATCAAATGCATCACATTGAAAAATTAAAAACCAAATTAATACAAACCTCAAATTATGAGAACTGTTAATATAACCCGCCCAACATTTAACGAATAAAAAAAGTAATTAACCCTTTTGTTTCTCTATTGCTATATAGGGTTCCCATTCCCATGCAAAAATTCATATCATCCCATACTCTACCCACACATACACGCTGGACATTGACACAATTATAAAAATAAAGACAGATTTGTTCAGCTATGCCATGAAAGGTGAATGGGAGAAAGTTGTGGAAACATAAGACAAACATCGATGGATTCACAAGGCCAGCATCACTAAATCAGGAGATACAGCATTGCACCTAGCAGTGTCAGATGGCCATGTGAAAACTGTTCCACTAGTCCAACTAATTTGTCGACCCACGGAGGGGGCGGGGCGGGGCGGGCGCGGGGCTATGTACGTAAAAAATGAGAGAGGAAATACCCCTCTCTGTTTGTCAGCAACATTGGGTAGTGTCAAAATGTGCAAGTGCATTGCTAAGGTAGATTGTAAGTTAATCGGTGTTCGCAACAAGAAGGAAATGACCCCTTTGTTCTTGGCTGCTCTCAATGGTAAGAATCATGCTTTCCTCTGTCTTGATGATCTTTGTAGCCAGGACGACCGCTATCACTATTGACGTCGCAGGAACAATGGCGAGACTGTTCTTCATTCTGCCATCAATGGAGAATTCTTTGGTAAGACCTATATATATAGCTAGTTGATTTAAGGGAAAAATATGAATCAGTTGTACTTTCAAAAGTTAATTACTAACACATGAAAAAGTTTATCATTAATTTGAAAATTTTCTTTAAAATATCCATTGATGTGTTCTTTTCCCTTGATTTAATTGGTGAAATGATTAGTATATTATTTTTATCATATACTTATATTTTATTTGTTCATAAGAAATATTATTATTGTCTGTTGTTGATGGATGTGATGTGTTGTTGTGATAGATTTGGCATTTCAAATAATTTGTCAATATGGAGACCTCGTTAACTATGTAACCGAAAAAGGATCGTCTCCACTCCATGTTATGGCCACCAAGCCCTCTGCCTTCAAAAGTGGAAGGGCCTTGTAGGGTTTGACAAAATCGTTTACTACTGTGAGTACTCTCTCTCTCTCTCTCTCTCTCACATACAAAATCTCCATAAAATAAAACGCATAAATCTATTGTAATTGTTATAGACATATTTATCTACCTTTGGCAAATTTGCAATATCCAGGTACATTTGTTGATGAGCTAAAGCAAGACAAGGTGAGAGAGGAAGAAGAAGAGAGAAAGAAACCCAAGCTTCCGGAGAACTATCAAACTTGTATCAACATCTTTGTACTGTTCAGGGATGCCTTCTGTGTACCTTGTGAGTAGTATGTGTGATTTCTTAGCTGTGCTAGGAATATTGATAAGGAAGAGCCTACCGTCTAAGAAAGTATACCAAAAAATTAACCAAACCCTTATATCAATGGTGCAGATTTAAAGGTGCTATTGTGGAATCCTACCTTTTTTTTTTTTTTTTTTGGATAAGCAAAAACAAATCTTTATTGATGATAAAACCATAAATCAAATGAGATTATATCAAATAAAAGAGTGGATGAGCAGAAAATGCATCATAGTTAATTAGCCCAATCCCAACTAGGTTGGCACCGAGAAGAGAGTCCAATCGTCTGCAAGCTCAACCACAAAGGGTTGGTGAGAGACCAAACCCCGCAGGAGGGAAACCCACAAGAAGCACTAACCCAAGTAACACTATCAAAACAGAATAGCATACATAGCTCAACCACAAAACCCAAGCTCAACCACAAAGCACACATCATACAGATCACACATCAAAAAATCAGACACCAGATCCACCACAGAGCACAGCAGTAGACAGATCATAGCAGAATCAGACCCAGCAAACAGACAGATCACAGCTCACACACCAAGTAGATCACACACCATAAATCCACAACAGCAGCCCCGAAATCCACAGCCCAGAAATCCGCAGCAGTAGAAATCCACAACAACAGCCTCATTAGATCATAGTGTAGACTTTCACTTGAATTGCAACAGCAAAACAAATACAGCAGCAGGCAGAACAAACAAAAGGCTTCACTAAATTTTTTTGCCTTGGGCCGACCCTCATGCGGAGGGTGCATCTCTAGAGAAATAGCCTTCCTGGCCCGGTTACCCCCCGAACAGCAGTAATACCTAAACACTAAAAGTCCACTTCCTTGCAACGGAGCATTAGCCACAGCATCACAAATAGAACTGCAGCCACCATCAACTATAGAATCACTAACGGCCTCTAAAGCATCAACAGCAATAGCATCACACATGAAAAATCTAGAAATCCCCTAGATAATGATTTGTGATTATGTATCAATTTTAAACAGTAAATAACAATCTCAATCAAATAATCAAGACAAATCGACATAACAATTTTAAGTGGAAAAATCATAATTGGAGCGCCTCCAATTGTGATAAAAAAAGCACAGAAAAAAGCCACAAAACAATTCACTAAGAGGACATAAATGAATTACACAAGTGTACTCTCAATTATCTAGTGAATCCACGTCAGAATCGAACTGACCCCTATGTGCCTCTTCCAACCCTGTCTTCACATTGGAATTTTCTTGTACAACGTCGAATCTACAACACCAATGTCGAATCCACGACAATGAGCCACTCTAGAATCTACCAAAGCTTCAAACCCAAATTCTCCAGAATCCACCGAAGAACAACTCTTTTTTTTTTTTTTTAAATAAACCAAACTAAACAAACCCTTTGATATAATTCACTAAATTCATTATTAAAATCTCACAGATATCAAAGGAAACAAGCACAAAAGCTCTAGATGAAAACCCTAATCCACAAAAAGAAGATCTGGCAACCGTACCCTAAAATCGGACTGAAACACATATTTATAGAAAACAGATCCACGATCTCCGTTCGAGCGCAAGAATGCCCGCTCAAGCGGACTGACGCTCGAGCGCAAGAAGTTCCACTTGAGTGCAAAAACATAACTTCTAGTACTTTTTCAGACAGCTCAAACTTCTGGAACCAAAGATTCTCCGCTCGAGCACACAAATGGCCACTCGAGCGAACAAGCAACTTTGACTGCATTTTTTCTTTTTGCTTTAGGGGCGCTGCCCCGGACCTGCCAAGGGGCGTTGTCCCCTGGATCCCCACGAGTTGACTGGGCAGCTTGATCCCCAGCATAGTCAGCGAAGTGGCAAACATGAAAGAATTTACTTCTGAAACATCTCTGGAAGGCACAATTCGGGTTGGATTCATATCTAAAAACTCATAACCTCACTGAAATAAAAGTTGAACAAAATTACAACTGAAAGGAGTTTTGTCAAACAAGATTGCCAAGAATAAAAATCTAACAACACATATATCAACAACCTTAATGTACTACAAAATCAGCTGGAACAAAGTCTGACCTGATGCAACTTGAAAATGATTTCAGCCACTGAGTAGGCTAAACCTGAGCATGATGCTTTAATCCACAATGCAATTCTCACTTTCACCAGATCACAAAGATCATCTAAGTTAGGCTGGGCATTATTGAAAATACAATCATTCCTTAATGTCCATATAGACCATAACACCACAAAGGGGATGATTCTCCAAATCTTCTTCTCCAACTACTTTTTCAACTTAACTCCTACCTACCAAAGTAGCAGAGCTTCCACTTATCCTGATATAGCCCATTGAAAACCCCACCAACTCATAATCTTGGACCAAAATAACCAGATAAAAGAACAATGCAAGAGCACATGGTTGTCAGTTTCCACTTCCTCATTACAAAACACACAATGTAAATTAGTAAGGTTGTCCAATATACCAATCCTTTAAAGATAATTGAATGTCTTGATCCTTCTCTTCCAGGCAAGCCAGCCAAAAAATTGAACTTTAGAGGGAGCCACATTCTTCCAAATAAAGTCTGTCACCTTGTAGATAGGACCAAATGAGGATTCACGCCACTGATAAATGGATGAGATAGAAAACACTCCTGAAAAATTCGCATTCCATATCAATTTATTAAGCACATTAGCCCTTAACTCAAGGGCAGGAAGCAGCAAACCTTTCAATCTACCTACCTCCTTCATTTCCCATTCAAACAAGCTCCTTCTAAAAGATGAATTCTAGTCTTCGTGCTAAACTCTAGAACTCAACATAGATACAGATTCAGATTTATGTTTAGCCAAAAGAAAAAGTCTAGGTAACTCATCCTTGAAGCAAACATTTGTTAGAAATAGTTTTGGAAAAATTAGATTTTCCTACAACTTTGGTTTAATCTTTACGTGGGACCCATGCGCCAAAGTTGGCGGGTCTAAGTGGCAACACATTCTATACCGTGTTGTGATTCACGTGATATATTTGGTTGCTTAAAACCATTATCGGATGAATGGAAAATTGAAGCCAAAGTGAGCTTCATGGAAATGGAGTTTTGGTAAAAATTCTTTAAAGGTTTGAATCAAAGGCTTGTCCTACCTTGGTTTGGTGGACAAACGTTTGTGGGTTTATAAGGCTTGAGTTTGTAACATGGGAGTGCCCCAAGGGGCACCCTAAGTTTATAGAAGAGAGAGGTTATAGGCAAAGTGGGCTAAACCCATTGGACCCAAAAATAAACACACGCGTGTGCAGCCGTTCGTCCATCCGGTCGGTCAAATGGGCCAGGCTTGGGCATAGGTGCGTGGTATGAGGTTGGGTTGGGTTTGTCTGGCCCAATAATTATCTTTTTGGACAAAAAATATTTGAATTTATTTTTTATTTTTTATTTTTGAAAAATAAATTATGACCTTTGAATTTAAATTTCCAACTTAAATTTCAAACCCACATAGAACCTTCCTATATAGTCCCATATCTGTCTGAACAGATTTAGTCATCTGTGTAAAATACAAACCAAACAGATTGTATCTGTTCAAACAAGACCGAACAGGTTCTATACCTGTTCAAATAGGTTTGCACCTGTTTAATTCAAATCTGAGCAGCCACATTTTCTCTTATAAGTAGACAGAACCTCTATTGATTTTTCATTCAGAAATTTCATTCTTCTCTGCTGCTTTAATCTTTGCATTTTGCTGCATTAATTTTCTGTGAGAAATAGTGTATACACAAAGTGTGTTTGTTGTGCGAATAATTTGTAGTGCTGCAATTATTTGTTATTGATCATTTTATCCTAAGAGATAGACGTCCGCAATCTGAAAGTACCGTGAAGAGGACGAATCTGTCTTAAGGACACAGTGTTAAACACTGGACTTGATAAAAAAAAAAAAAAAAAAATTTTGTTTGACAATTTAATAAGGTAAGTAATTAATTTAATTTTCTGTTTTATTATTTGTTTGTTTTAGATTTTGATTTTGTTTTTGTAATAAAATAAAAATCTGTTTTTATTTATTTTTTATATTCTGGTTTGATTTTTGTAATCAAACATTCTCTCTCATTTCCTTTATTTCTTCTGTGGTCTGTCTATTGTTAAGTACACAAACAAAATTTATTCATAATACAATGAAGATTGTCTAACAATCTTAAGAAATATTTATTTTCTGCGTCTTCATTGTATTAATTTTTTGTGTTTTACAAAGTGATATTCTGGTTGGAAAATATAAATAATAGACATATACTGTTTGACAAATAGTAGTAATATACTGTTTATTTTCTTTGACAACTAATAGTAATATACTGGTGTCATTAACAATTTCATTATGGCCCTGTTTGGTACAGCTTAATTTCAGCTTATTCCAGCTTTCAGCTTAATTTAAGCTATTTTGATGTGTTTGGTTTAGCTTAACAATACAACTTATACCTTTTTTAAGTCATAAATCATACTTATTCTTTGAGTGGGGCAGGAGAAGCTTAATTTATAAGTCAGAAATCAACTTATGTTCATGGTTATAAGTAGGGCTGTCAATGGATCGGATTTAATCTGAATCTGACCCGAATTCGATCCGAGAATCCGAATCCGTTTACAAACAATCCGATCCTATAATCCGATTATCCGAATCTACTTAATCCGTTTATTAATCAAATTGAATATGCAAAAATCCGACCTGACCCGATAATCTGATAATCCGATCCGATTATTCTCGATTTGAATAAAAAAACACAAAATGAAAACAAAAAAATCAAATTATATAAAATTGTAGCTCAATAAATAAATAAATGGATCGGATCGGATTATCGGATTGGATATCCGAAATCATCGGATTCGGATTCGGACACCTATAATCGGATATAGACTAAACGGATTCAGATCGAATTCGGGTTTGTCTCAATCGGATCGGATTCAGATTTTAACAGATCCAATCCGAATCCGATCCATTTACAGGCCTTGTTATAAGGTATAAGCTGTTAAGGTATGAGCTATAAGCACTTTCCCATAGCTCTACCAAACAGGGCTAATATTAATTTGTGTAGTAGTGTTACAGAAAATTATTGTGTGGTATTTTATTTTTCTAGTTTTAGTAACAAGAAAAGTAAAATTAT